GGGGAGGAGGATGGCGGGTGCCCTCGTGGTCTGCTGCCGGACCTTCCGGACGTTATCGTCGTCGAGTGCTGCTGCCACTGCGACTGCGACCAGAGAATGGCCTTGGAAAACAGGCTGGGCTCGTTTTCGGAAGCCGGTGTTGTTTCTTCATGTTGTTTTGAAGTTGAGATGATGGCAGCGTCTGGTGGGTCAGAGTTTGCATCTGCATGGGCGGGGCCTGTTGTTGGAGCGTCCATCCCGTCTGTCTTCGTCCCAGCTTTTTCCGGCCTTGATATTGGATATCTCGCCCTTGTTCTTTTTTTTTTCCCCTCTCTCTCTTTGGATCGCCCAGTTGTTTACAGGCTAGCCCCGTACTGGAGGTCGAGATAAGAGAACGTCGCGCGTTTCGTGTAACCACCTCGGGAACCCGAAGAAGGAGGGGTGTTAACACCACAAGTGGTTGAGACTCCAATTATCCCGGCGTCACACGGCACAACCGAACGTTTTCGTCGCTTTTCGCTTCTTCGATTCTCTCGGCCTGTTGTTGTTGGCTCTTTCTAGAGCTCTCTCCGCAGCAGTAGAGGTAGCTTTCCGCGATGCATCATGTGGGTAAAAGAGGAAGAAGATGAAGAAGAAAACAAAACGAGAAAAGGACGGGACAAGAAAAGATAGGCATATGCCTCTTTCAAGGGTCTCATGAACTTTGTCCTTGTTGTTGGCTGTCTGGGTGCCTCTTCTTTTATCTTTGAAGCACCACCACTACCACCCATTCACAATCACAAGCGGGATCCGAACCCTTGGAGCAGCACAACATGTCTTGGTCTACTGCAATGTGAAAACCAGGCGCCAACCAACCACAGTCGTAGCGAGGGATTCCCCCACTCCAATGGCACTCCGCCAGGTGTGGAATTCCTGCTTTTTGTGTTGCCTATTTGTCCTCGATTTGCTGAGGATGATGGTGCACTGCCGCCCGCCCATCCAGATCATGCCGGCCATGTACAAAGATCAGATCTGTATTAATCAGTCGGTTTGTTGGGGGATCCGAGGGACTTCCATCCAAACTAGACATCCACATCTTTCGTGGACGTATGAGGTTGGCATTACACAGTCACACATCCCGTCAAGATGAAAGATCTGGACACTTCCCGATAACCGGATCACCAAAAGACAGAAACACGAGTGGGTGGTATCAAAACAGCATCACCTGAAAGCTTGCCCCTCATCATGATGTTACTCGCCAAGCAGAGACCAAGACGACTTCCCCCCATCCGCGCTAATCGTGCAGTTTCCCTTGCATCCGGATTCGTTGTGCAACTAGAAAAAAAGGCCGGTGCCATCCATGTCCGCACTGCTGCAGCGCGGACAGCGCGCATGAAGCAGAGCGCCGGGGTCCTCTCTCCGCCAATGTCGAGTGAGGCTAGAAATGTGACTGGGTAAGGGTTTAGCATATCGCGTGGCTACAAAGAGGCAGAGAAGAAGAAAAAAAGAGAGGAAAATGGCGAGTGAAGAGAAAAAGCGAGGCGATGGGGAAAAAGGGCACAAAAAAGAAGTTTTTGCTGTAGCTGCAACTCGTTTCGATCGAGTGACCTCCGGGTTATGAGCCCGGCGCGCTTCCGCTGCGCCATGCAGCTGTTACTGATAATTGAAAGGTTTGAGAAACCTAAAGCTTATATGGTTTTACGTTTATTGTAGTGGATACTAGATACGCTGGCACCTTCCGCAACTCGCCACCTTTCTTTCTTCCAAACAACATCCGTTTTCACTCTTCGTCGTTCTCAATGGATGCCACGGCATCTTCTCAAACATTTACCTCCCTCTCCGTTTCCTCCTTCTTACCCCCTCCGCCCATTCGACTCCTTTATCACCATCTCCGCCGCCCGTTCCGCTACCCCATAAACCGCCGTCTGCACATGCGCGCCCAACTGCGTCGCAAACACGCTCGCATCCACCACCCTCAATCCCTCGGTCCCATAAACCCTCAACTTCCCATTCACCACCCCTCCCTCTCTCCTCGGTAACATCGCCGCCGTGCTGGTCGGATGGAAAATACTCTGCATCGTGTTCACCACATACTCTCTCCACGCCTCATCATCATTCATCTTCACGGCATCCAACCCGGGACTGTACTCATCCACCCATACACTCCGTAAGGGCTCAGACAAGGCTATGCGACGAGCGAACTTCAGACCGGCGATGCAAGCCGCCATGTCGTATTTGTTTGACAAAAAGTTGGGGTTTATCACGGGGTTTCCATGCAAAGGAGAAGAGGTGTCGATGTGTACCGACCCTGTGGAAAGTGGGTGCTGGATGGCGACGAGAAGACTGAAGAAGTGCGGTTTGGGAACCTGCGAGTAGAGCGGGTCGGAAGGCGAGAGGTAGCCACCCGCGAAGCCGTCGGAGAAGATTATTTCTACTTGGGGCACGGAGGGGGTGGTGAGGAGGGTTAGTTTGGTTTTCAGGCCGGCGTGGCCGATTTTGTCGGTGGTGGTGGTGGTGGTTGTGAGGTTGGCTGCAACGGAGCGAGCGAGAGCCACAAGACGGGCAGCTTTGGACTTGTTGCCGGTGGCTTGCTCCCAGTTGGCAAACACGTAAGCGCCCGCTTTGTCATCCATGATGGATGGGATGCCGGCGCGCCACTTGGCTAGTTCTTCAGCGGCCGCGGTGGAGTTGTACTTGAGCAGGTCGGAGCTGCGGTACTGCGGTTTGAGCTGGTACACGAGCTGCAAGCGCAGGTGGTCATTGTAGTTCTCACCGACGCCGGGGAGGTCGATGAGCTGCGTGATGTTGGCGGCCCGGAGGACAGATGAACGGCCGATGCCTGAGCGCTCGAGCAGATTGGGGGTCTGGATCGCGCCGGCGGAGAGGATGACTTCTTGCGAAGCCCGGATGACGGTGCCGTTGGCTAGGGTGACGCCCGTTGCTTGGTAGGTGCTGCTAGCCCGAGTCTGCTTTTCGAGGTTGACCTTAGCTACGAACGTGTCCGTGAGGATTTCCAAGTTGGGTCCAGCCTTCGGCAAGTAGGCGTTGGCGCTGTAGGACCGGACGTAGTTCGTCGGGTTGATGCTGCTAGGCTGGATCATGACGCCGATAGGATTCCCTTGAAGGGAGTTGTTATTGTCCGGGATGGACAGTGAGCCAACCATCGTGGGCACGAAGAACTTTTGATGCTCGGGCACGTAACGGCTTACAGAGGCGTGAACTGGTCCCTTTGTTCCCGAACCGGGTGGACCACCAGTGTAGTTCTCCGCCTTGAGCATGGCGGTGCTCATGGACTTCCAGTTCCATCCGGGGTTTCCCACCTTTTCCCATTGGTCGTACTCGACAGCCGCCGCTCGGTTCCAACTGAGCAAGTTGATGGCGGACGAGCCGCCGAGGACTTTGCCTCTGTTGACCACGGTGGTGCGATTGTTGAGAGCCGCCTGTGGTACTGTTGGAAAGTTCCAGTCATATTTCCCTCCGAGGTTTCCTCCCTTGAGTCCTGGGACGTTGATGGCGTCTTCATCGAGCGCGGCTGGACCGGCTTCAATGACGAGGATCTTGGCTTCGGGAAGTCCCTGGCTGAGACGCGTCGCTAATGCATTTCCCGCGGTTCCTCCGCCGACGATGATCTGAGCGGGAATTGTCAGCAACATTCGCTTTTGCTGAAGCATGTTTTGTCTATTGTCACTTACGTAGTCGTATATTTTGCTGCCATTAGGTCTGGGTGCTCCCGAGGCCCAGGCGCCCACCGACAACCCAGCCCAATAAAGAAGCGTGGACAAACCCATCGTTGAGTGATATAAGCGACTTCAGTCCTTGCTGAGAGTGTAGAGTGAAGTGTCGGGGTTGAGCCTATGAATTTATACTCTCTCGACACTCGATTAAGAGTTTGCCCAGACGCAGCCCATTCACTCATGTAATACCTACAAGGCTTGTCCAATACCGCCTGTTCAGCCACAGCCACTTGGTTTGCTGATGCCTTTTAATTCCAACCCACACTGGCCTTTCAGCTCTTACTTGATGCAAGCCCTCAAGCCATGGACGCAAAGTAACATTGGCAACCCGTCCGAAGCCATGTTTGGGTTCAATCATGTTGAAACCCTGAGACTACTCCTCGGTAGCGAAGTGGTAGCAAACCTGCGGGTATTCAATATTGTGAGCCGTGTGTTGGTGCCACAACAGCACGCTGACTTACGATCGTTGCAGAGAGACAGAATGTGATTGGTAACCGATTATGTAATAGCCTGAATTATAGACCCGGGCTGCGTATACATCTCTCGAGTCCCGAGTCCATCACTCAGCTATTGGGTATGATGAGGTGCGCTGGAACTGACTGTGCTTGGGAGCAAGGTAGACTTTACCTAAAGTAAGAGAAGGATGGAAAGAAAGCAGGCCAGCTGCTGATTAGTATACAAGAGTGCTAATGTGAAAGTCTCAGAAAACCCAACCACTACACCTTTCCGGCATACTCAATACCCTTCAAAATAAACTTGAGGCGATCTCCCCGTATTTCCTCTCGCCATTCTTGCTTTTTACTCCTTCACCAACGACTTAGAAACCCGCTCTCATGCTCAACAACGACCCCCGCGCTAAAAGCCATCATCACGGCCTTGAGTACTGGTCAAACGAGAAGATTACCATTACTCTTCTTGTTCCAGAGACCCAGACTCAGCCACATTGCCTGAGGCACTCTTTTCTGACCGAGATGATGACGACGAAAACGACGACCTAGACCCTGTCAAGAATGTGGAGGAGCGCAACGGCAATGCTTCCAGCGAGGATTCGCTTCCCGCATAAGACACTGTTGAACCTGAAAACCACAACAAATCCAAGTCTCGGCTCATGCCATCCTGCTCTGGTGATAACAGGGGCGAATTACCGCTCTGAAGGTGACCACGAAGACTAGTCCAAGGCTGTTCTCGGACGGGCTCCTTCAGCCAACTTTTGATCGGGGTTGCTGATGGCTTGCTTTCTCTTTTCTTTTCAAAATAGCTCTTCAGCCGTTGCTGTTGCTGTGCTTGGCCAGTATTTGAGTATGTGGTCTTCTGGACCGGCTCGCTTTTCTGGCGACTGTTCGCTTCACTTGGGAGCTTGTTGCCCTGTGTGCAGGGGCTTGCTTGTGATAGAGACATTTGAGTTATGCGTGAGGGCCAGAGGGGTATGAATGAGAGACCTTTTGGAAGAGGTTGCTTTTTCGAATGGTGTTAGTGAACAGACAGTTCATGTATGGTGGTCTGTGTGAACGGAAATGTGAGTGCTTACTTGGATTCTGTTTCTCGAATGTTGATACGATTGTACCTTTAGGAGTGCTAGATTATTCAATGACTGACAAAATGATGCACCGGCTAGGGAATCAACTGCTTCAGTGACGTCCTGAGAAACAGATAGACAGACCTTTTATGCCAACTTGACACAATGAAGTTTTCGCACCGAGTCCTCTTTTCTTAGGCAGTCATGCTCGCCATCTCGAAGTTGCACAACTGCAGCTGAGCAGAATTTCACTACCAGCCTAGTAAAGTGAATAGCCAAGATCAATACGAAACCCGAATCCGTCCTCCCCCTCACCCGGCGATACGGCACCGCCTTTCCATCCCGGGACCGAAGTCCATGCCAGCGAAGCAGTTTTGAAGTTCCAAGACTCCCGACCCCGCGTCGTCGAGGCCACCTGAGACATCTTATTGCGGTAGATGACGGCAGTGTGCTCTAGGCGTAGGTAAACTTCGTTCGATAGATCGATCGGTCCCCGCCCCCACGCTCCGGATACACAGTTTACCTCTACTGGATCGGACATCGGCCTCGAGTGCCAAGACAGACCGACCGACCACATGGGCGCAACGTGACGGAGAACACAGAGGGCATAGGGAAGGAAGGACTGAGGTAAGAAGTGGTGGCTACTCACCTAGATAATGTAGAGGTGCATCACCTGAAACGAAGGTGAAGTTCCAGTTCGAAGTCTGCGGCCGGTCTCCAACTGAACGGTACGGTAATACATTCCACTTGACACGTGCCGGTTCATCCCATCCACCAGCTGTGGACGTTTCGTTATCAAGAGGTACCTACCTTACCTCTAGCCAGCCGTAGAGGTACTCAGCGGAGATAAAGTGGAAGGTACATGTGTAGAGGTAAGTATCCATAAAGGGAAGTGGTCGTCATCAGGCTGAAGGAGTGAGCCTGTGGCGACTTCCATTTGCGGACTTTTTCGTTTCATAGTTTCATCGAGTCACCTGAAAAGAGGCTGACTTGGCTTCGTTTCAGTTTCAGGTCGGTCATCACCCGCACACCCTCTTCCCGCATTTTCGGAATTTGCCATGCAGTACGGTGGGAGAATGAGCACCTCGAGGGGTAGGTACTTATGGGAAAGGCAGAAAGCAAAAGGGGAAGGTACAACCAAATAGTCCGATTGGAAACCAAAGAGGCTGGGTGGATGGTTCGCACCTGCCTATTTTATGATCATGCCTGTCTGCCTGCCTGCCCCTGGCCTAGTCGAGAAGACACTGCGGAATCGACTCAAGAGATTCCTCCAGAAGCACCGCCGGACACGACGTTCACAGATCACGATTGAAAACAACTAGACTCCGGTAAAGTTGCTCATCATCAAAAGTAATCCAAGTTTCTTCATAAAATAAGCAAAAAGGAGAGGGGGGGTGTATAATCCAGTATAGTATCCCAAAAAATAGCTTCTTTCTCGTAGCTTTTCTCCAACCTGTATTTCATCTCATCACATCGCTTCATTCACAAAATCCTCCAGTATTTCTTCTCCTTTTTCCGCTTTTTCTTCTCATCATCTGCTTTCACCACCTCACCTCACCTTCAGCCCCCGACCCCGACCCCGTCAAAACCCCCGGAACGGAAAACCCATTAGCTCCATCTGCCATATTCCCGTTCACCACCGTACTAGTAATACTGCTCCAATCCTCAAAGCCGTTGCTGCCACCCAAATCCAGATCCCCAAAAAGACTATCAGTGGAAAGAGTAAGAGGAGGTAACATGAACTGGTTATTTTGTTGTTGTAGCTGTTGTTGTTGACCCTGCAAATCCCGTTGATGCTGTTGCTTTGACGTTGCCGTCAAGTTTGTCGTGGTAGCAAGCGTCTTCTCAAAGAAACCCACGCTTGTTGACGTGGATGGTGCTTCGGGCGTTTCGTAGATGGTTTCGACAGGTAGGGAGAATTTGAGGCTGTGGGAGTGGAGGTGGGAGTATTTGTTTGTTGGTGGGAGGGGGAACTGGGTCGCCAGGGTGGTGGTGGTGGTGGTGGAGGGGAGGGAGGAGGATCGTTGTTTTTGGAGTGGGAGGTCTTGTTGTGGTTGTATTTGATGGTGTCGTTGTGGCTGTTGTGGTTGTTGATGGTGTCGGGGTGGGTGTTGTAGGTTAGAGGTAGGGCTCGAGGTCAGTTGAGGGAAAGCGGTCTTGCCGCTAGTGGCGTTGTTATATTTGTTGAACTGCTGTTGCTGTTGCAATGTCGACTTATGTCCAAGTGACTCCGTCGATGCTGTCGATCGCTTCGACCTCGGCCTCAAGGATTCCACACTTGGTTTCGGCACCGGTACCCGAATCGCCGTAACGGCCACTCCATGGCGGCTTCGAATGATAGCCTGGTCATGACTCAACCTCGCAAGCCGTTTTGCCTCCTCTCGCCCGCCCCTGAAAAACTCGAGCAAATCCTGCAACTTCCCCGGAGCGTCCCCCTCCAAGAACCCCTGAGCGTGCCCCGTCGCTTGCGCATCCCACCCCAGAATCGGCTGCTGATCGCGTGGTATATGTCCGTACAGCTGAGCAAACAACTCCTTCCATGCCTGGCTGACCAGCGGCTGGTGAAGCAGCGCGTAGATCACAAGAGAGTGGTTGTAATGAGACTTGTTGCATCCGTCCTCGTAGTGTCGCGCCACATGGTCGAAATACCGGTCCCTGGCTCCCATAAACGCACCGCAGAAACCACAGCCCCAACCCGTCCTCCGCTGCGTATACCGAACCACTTGCTCGGCGTGCGGGCAGGTCGTGCATCCATGTGCGTTCTTGTGGTGCTGGTTGAAGGTGTTGGCGCCCCAGAAGATGCTGTTGCAGTCCGGGCATGGGTAGCGCTTGTGTCGCTCGTGGAATTCGTCCTCATGTCTCTTCCAGTCGAACTTGCGCTGGAAACTGACGTTGCAGAATGTGCACCAGTAAGGACCTTGAGGCTTGGAGGCACCTCGGTTGCTGATTTTCGCCCCTGGCACTGATAGTGCTGTCTTGAGTGATGGCGTAGTCGTTGTGTCGTACATGTTATGTGATGAGACCGAGCTGGTTGAAGTTGCCACTGATAGAATGCTTGCTGCCCTTCCTGATGACCCCGAGCTGGTTGTCGATACCGAGTTGTGACGGCTCATATCGTTCATTGTCGAAGCGTGCTGCTCCTGTGTTGAGAAGATGGAAGAAGTGCCGTGTGTCATCATGGTCGAAGGAACTCCTGACGCATGTTAGTCGATGGAGATGTTTTGCTGACGGTAGGGCGGGCCAAGTCAACACACACCCTTATTATAACCCTCCAAAAGAGCGGATAAAAGCTCGTCGCGCGATATCCCGGATTTAGTCAGGGCGTCAATATGTAGTCGAGCCGCAGCCTGGCTGTTGGTTGAAGCACGGGGATAAGAGTCCATGATTTTAGAACGGTTGAAACTGCTGGACCTGCCAGAAACGCCGTGTCGATTAGAGCGAGCGGAATGGGCCACTGTGAGAAGTGGTTTGAGAGTTGTGTTTTGAGATGAAAATAGGCCCGCCGACCATGAAACTGAAAGCTAGTGGTACGTTTACCACACATACATACGTAGAAGACAATATTAGAAAAAGAAGGTTCGGCAGTCAAGCGCAGGCGCTTGATCTGGGCGGCGCGGGAAGGGAAGGGAGGGGAGGGGAGGGGGATAAGCAAGAGGTTATACCCCCTTGTTGGTAGCACGAGTAGTACTAGTAATAAGAGAGGAAGCGAAGGCAATGGAACGCTGCGGCGAAGATAGGGTACCAGGCAGGGCAGGGGTGGTGGGGGTGGTGAAGAGGTGGGATATGGGAGGATTATGGGGAGATGATGGGAAGATGGGGGAAAGGACAAGGGAGCAGGAAATGATCAGATAGCCGGGGAAGGGAAACAGAACCCCGTCACGAAAAGCGAAAACGAAGAGAGAGAAACGC